TTTTCTTAAATCTTTATTTATTTATTTATTTATTTTCTCCTTGTTTTTTTAACCTGATGAACGATGGGAACTGGATCGTTTTTAAAAGGGAAAAAAAAAAAAAAAGAACTGGATCGTGAATTCCACCCCAGTTGTGGGACAACAACCCCTCTTCCCCCGATTCCGACGCACCTTCATCTTCTTCCTTTCCTTCTTTTTTTTCTTTTTTTCTTTTTAACGCAATTTGATCTGAACTCACACTGCAGCGAGGTCCATCCAGCAAAGAGGATTGTATTAAGCACCTGAATCTGAATGGGTTTTGACTAGAGATGCAGAAAACCAGATCAATCGCGATTTCCTGCATCTGTGCGCAAACACGCCCAGATTCTGCCGTTAGAATCGAATCCTTTTGCTAGTGGGACCTGGCACCAGGCGATTCATCTCGAAACCCCCTGATGAGGCCGCTAGAACTGGCAGCGGCCGAAACTAGTTGGGGATCGCTAGCTCCTTTGTCTCCTGTTTTTTCACTCTATTCCAGCGAGGAGGACGAGGGTGCCATAGCTAAGGCTATGGATGTGGTTCATGACCTTTCTTCTGTGTTCCATTTCTCGAGATATCATTTTCGCATGAGCGCTGCGTTCGCAGCTATTTGTTAAGCATCTGGTCGAGTCTGACCTTGCTTTATCATTCATTCATTCGATTTATTCCTTTCCCCCTCCCCCTCTTCGTATGTTCTTTTTTTTTTTTAAACCAGAACATCATCATGTCAGGTGTATCGATGGGAAAAAAAAATAAAAAATAAAAAATCATCACGTCAGGTAAGCTTAATGTGCGGGCGTTCTTCTCTTTCTTTTTTATTTCCCCCTTCCCCCCTCCCCCCTCCCCCCTCCCCCCTCCCTCTGTGTTCTATACACAACGAATGCATGCGATTTTTAATATATATATATATATATGTTTAAAGGTAAGTTATATCCTCCTCTTCTTGTTTTTCTTTTTTTTTTTTTGTTTGGGGGGGGTGGGGGCGGGGGCGGAGGATTGTGAAAACAAACAGACCGTTTATAACACTCTAGAACATCAGTAGTTCTGACCGCGGACACTGATAACTTGCTACGTGATTTGTTAGGTGGATTTTCCTCCCTCTCTAGTTAACCACTGCGACAGCGAACCTAGCTGTCGACTGCCTCTGAGTTAACCAGGCTGGTTGACTACCCCATGCTAACTCTCCTCTTTACGTGGGTGCCAAATTACCCTCTCTCCCGCCCTCTGCTGCTACTGCTGCTAGATTCACCCCACTGCATGGCAATTTAATGCACTGTGGGCTCGCATACACCCCCCAATTGGATAAATACACAACATGACAAATCTCTGTTCCAGAAAACTTCACCGCGAGGCTGTTTCTAAATCATCATTCTTCAATGCGCTGCTGTTTCTAAATCATCATTGAGACGGTGAACAGGGAGCATCATCAAACTAATGTCAAACGAGGGAACACGCTGGCTTGTTTGTGTTACGTTGTGCGATTCAAAACAAGCGGTCCCAAACAAAATAAAAAAAGAAAAAGAAAAAAACGGACAGGATGTGACGAGTTGTGAAGCAGAAAGTCATAACAAGGCAAAAAGGGAAGGGAAAGAAGAGGATGCGAGAAACAGAAAACAAAGAAGAAATGGGAATGGACCCAAAAAAAAAAAAACAAAAAAAAAAACGGACAGGATGCGACGAGTTATGAGCAAAAAGTCATAACAAGGCAAAAAGGGAAGGGAAAGAAGAGGATACGAGAAACAGAAGAAAAAAAAAGAAATGGGAATGGACCGAAAAAACAAAAAAAAAAGAACGGACAGGATGTGACGAGTTGTGAAGCAAAAGTCATAACAAGGCGAAAAGGGAAGGGAAAGAAGAGGATACGAGAAACAGGAAAAAAAACAGGAGAAATGGTAATGGACCCAAAAAAAAAAAAAAAAAAGGGACAGGATGTGAAGAGTTGTGAAGTAAAAAGTCATAACAAGGCAAAAAGGGAAGGGAAAGAAGAGGATACGAGAAACAGAAAATAAAATAAAATGAAATGGGAGTGTGCAAGGGAGGCAGGAAGGAAGGAAGCATGGAAGAAAAGCGGAAGAAGAGTACTTCAATTCACAATCGAACTAACCCAATTGATAACCCTAAACAGAAAAAAAAAGCAATGATTGCGAAGTAACTTGCAGATTGGCTACTACCAATAGAGTACGACGGTGTCAACTGAGCACAAGTCAATTGTCCACTGCACACCTTCTGCTCCCTCACACTTAGAAAACAATCGAGTTACACATCACTATGTACATAATTTAGTTTCCTTCGACTCTTCTTCACAACAATCCCCTCCCCCCCCCCCCCCCCCCCCCATCTTCCACACTTTATGCAGTAGTCATTCTCTGATTCAGCACGGGCATAATCTCTGGCTTGACGTTCTTGACGAGCTCGCGCAAGGGGTGGTACTTGTATGATCTTCCTTCCTCAAAATTCTCGAGAACTCCCGCAGCCCTCGACTCTTTTGTTACTCTCACATCCGGCGAGGAGGTGGCCATTCGCGTCAAATGAAAGCCGCATAGACCGACAGCAGCACCGACTGCAGCAAACAGAGGATATACCTCCGGTCTTATCCAGTAAGATAACGACGCCATCGCTGCTAACGACCGTGGGGAAGAAGAGGGCGAGAGAGTGCGGCCGAGAACGAGCCAGAAGCTTCGAGGCCAGAAGCTTCCAGAGAGAGAAATCGGCCCTGAGAACGTCCCAAACGAACTCGCGCGCCCCTTCTTGCTTCGCTCCTTGGCCTCTCTCATCTATTTCATGTTTTTTTGGAAGTACGCATCTATCTCATCCTCTCGCTAGTCTCTGTCTACCCTGTTCCCCCGAACATAACTGACCCTTAAAATGAATGTATACAAGTATTTTCGGCCAGATACGGCCAAAATGAGGGTGCGTTGTGTTCGGGGGAAGACGGTAGTAGTATCGGGTATCGGGGGACGCCAACCAACCCGGATATCTCCCCCCACGGGGTAGGTTACTAGGTTGGCACCACAGCTGTGGTGGTGAGAGAGCAAGGCTGTACCGGGGCATGCGAATTGCTGTTGTGCAGTTTCGTGTTCACTGCACATTAGGCTGCGCCGCACCAATCGCCAAATGCACAAAAGACACAAATTATGGCCGTGTACGTTTCCATGTTTAGCACGAAAGTTCGTTCTCATTTTGCACATTTGGTGAGTGGTGCGCAGAGGCTCATTGTATTGAGGGACAGTTACTTGATTTGTGCTGCGTGGCGCAAACCCCCCCCCACTAGCCACAAACAAAAAAAGAGAAGCCAAGCTCAGTTGGTACACCCCTGAATTGTTGAAAAATATGCACTGTGGCCCAAATGAATTGGCTGCCTGTGTGTTCACTACCACAGGTTGGGGGTTGGAGCATTCCGTGGTGGGGCAATACACCTGTTCTTCCAGGTCCCTGCCATCCCCGAGTGGACGCTTAGGGGCAGATTGCCGGTTCCCTGCCGGAGCCTAGACGGGAGGGTGCTTTTGGTCATGCTTTATAAGGCACCCGCAGACAAGGGCTGAAGAGGCTCGCCCCCCCTTTTTTTCCTTTTTCCCATCACCCCTGCGCAGTCAATCCCCTGGGACCCAGGGCAATCAATGCTGGCAGGCTTTTAACTTCCTGACATATTTTCATACATTGTACATGGGATGCCGTTTTCCAGCAGGTGTGGCTCCCCACGAATAGACGGAGCCTCGCCCACGATACTAGCGGTGTCTGCTCATATCAGCATCCCTAGTCTGGAAAAAAAAAAAGGAGGGTCTGAAGCATCTGCATTTGGCGGGCTTGGGATTAGATCTGTGCCTGCGGTCTGCGACCCAGCAGCTGGGCTGCCGTGCATTCGCCTTCTAGGGTCAAGCACCCCGTGGGGGGATGGGCCAATAAATTGTACCCGTTGGGGGTAGGCAGTCCTTGATGAGAACGGAAGGGCCAGCACCTCAGGGGGACTAAGGGTGACGCTTGTGCGACTGGGTACCGTAAAGGTCTACCGGAGAGGGATGCTTTTAGCCATTAACCCAGAGATGAGGCAGGATGGTACCTGCGCTCTTGAGCTGAAATGCAACTGCACTACCTTGAATGTGTACAACTCTATTTAAAAAAAGGAATAATTTGCAAAATACCCCTATAAGTTGAGATATATGCCAAAATGCCCCTAAAAGATCTGGGTAGAGCGGAGTGCCCTTTTGGGCCTAATTCTTTGCGTTACCCCCCGGTCAGGCCCATGTGCAAAATTGCAATCTGGACCGCGTCGTTGGGGCCCAGGCCTGCACCCTGCTTTACCCGTTTTGCCCTCCATACCGGGTGGGCAGCTTTGCGCAATACCCAGGCCCATCGGTGAGGTTGCCCATCTCCAGCTCCTCCTCTCTCTCTCTCTCTCTCTCTCTCTCTCTCTCTCTCTCTCTCTCTCTC